TTCTTTTTAAATGAGCCTTAAAAAGGTCTTCATTATGAGGAATCCAAAGATATACCTTAACATGCCACAACTTTTAATTTATTACATAATCGAATATGAGCACCCCACGATAAAATATGATATCTCTCAACTCATAAAGAGTTGTTTATCTTTGAATCCTTTTGAGTAATGAAATAGACTCAAAAATATAAAATAGTGCTCAGTTCCCTCCTTAAATCATGACTTCCAAGTCATTAAAATAGTTTTCATCACAAAAAATAGCATTTGCATACCCTCTAATAAATAGACCATATCTTTCAAACTGCAAGGAATTTCTTGATAAAAATATTTTTGTTTTGAAAGTAGACTCAATTTGATAGGTTACAATCAAATTTCAGTTAGAAATAAAATCATATGATTGGTAGAAAAATCATGGAACTCAATGGACAGTTCCTGGCGATTGTAGAGTCAGAACTTACACCCTTCATTGATTAATCCATAACTCTCCATTCCCTTAGGATCTCCCACTGAAATTTTGCAGGTAGATTCTACTTTTAAAAATACACAATATTACTGAGTATGTAATGAAAAAATACACCATTATCTTCTTCATATCACTGTTCCAAAATAGCCTAGAATACCCATTATGCATTGTACCTTTTTCGGTGTTTGAAAATTCCAATGTAATTTTAACTATGGGTGTATTACGTGACCACAAAGATCATTAGTTTTCTTATATCTTATTTTCAAGTTTGATATAGACTCAATAAGAGAAAATATAACTAATGGTATCAAGTATCAATAACTCTGATATCAATGAAAGAAAGACTAATGTGATCTTGCCGGTGAATATATTTTTTTTATTTTTTTTCTTTCACCCATTTTCTTTTTTCTTTTTTCTTTTCTTTTGGCAAATATCACTTGTAAGTAGTCTTATTACAATAACTCTTGCTTTAAAGAAAATAAAACTAACAAATTTAGGATCTTAAAAACTTTGATGTCATTAAACCAATTTTCTTTAAACAAAGAAAATATCCACAATTCTTATCATTCAGAATATAAATACAATATAATTAAATATGGTAAGAAACAAAAAGAAAGTACCGGAGATTACCTCAAATGGGCTTAGTGCATCCCGACATTGAGTGTCCTCTTTCTGATGGTGCTCAGGATCTATGATCGGTCACTTGATTCTCCTATATATGACAAAACCCTCTCAATGGCATATGGATCTCGATCTAAAACCAACTAAGGCCTCAATGCCTTAGCCTTGCTCAAGCCTCATTAGCTTGATCTTTAGAGAGATGAGAGATAGATCAAAGAGAGATGGAAAGATCTACTAGCAAGGAGATCCTCCCATTAGCTACCCAAAAATCAAACCACCACAAGCTAACTTTAGCTTGCCATCTAGAAACAACAAGAGAAATATGATTTGGGTGTACCCTCTTAGAAAAAACTTGAGAGAGATAGAATATAAAACTTATGGCGTGCTTCAAAAGTGGGGCGTGCCTCCCCTTTGGTAATCTAGAGAGAAAACTAAATTTTAGTAGAGAGAGAATTCTTAGAGAGAGAGGAGATAACATGTACATCATTTTATGAAGGGAGATACCTCTTTTTATAGATTTTCTATGCCTTTGGAATTTGCCTCAATTCGTAAGGTTAAATCTTTAATATCGATCTAAAGAGACTTATGGCGTGAAAGATTTGAGTCATCGATCTGTTTGATGCACCATCAATATTCAAAGAGATGAGCTAGAGCTTTATCCTCCATTTCCTAGATCTATATTCCATACATCTATTTGATCAACCATCAAGATTCAAAGAGATGAACTAGAGCCTTATCCTCCTTTTCCTAAATCTATTCCCTTTCCTAGATTTATTCCGATGAAATCTTTAACAAAAGAAAATATATATCTTATTTTCTATTTAGTATATCCAATCTTTATTTATTGGATCAAGCGATCTTGATTCAAAGATTTATTAAATATTTCAAATAATTAATATTTCAAATATTCAACCTTATAAGTTAACTATCTCCAAAAGTTAAGCCAACAAACAAGGGATAAACATTCTTCTCAAGAAGAATACGTGAATGGGTGGGGCGTGCCACCCTTTTTGGTGGCTACGTGTGGGCTCACCTTATCCACATGTTTTTAAATTTTGGGCCCCATATTTTATGGAGACTGTATATTTTAGAAAATATTTTATTTCATATTTAGAATTTTTAAATCTTATAATTTATTTAAAATATTGAAAAATTAATTTCTCTTAATTTATAAATCCAAATGACAAAAATAAAATATCAAAAGATTCACAAAAATTCAAATAAACATTCTAAAAAAATCATATATCATAAAATTAATTAAAACTAATTAAATTTTTTTTATGGGAATCGGATCTGTTAGATCTAGGAATTTATCAATATACTGGAGCACTCAACTTTCAACTGAGGACCACGATCCACCTAGCTTTCTCAAATTGACACAGCAGTTTCCATGACCTACAGTCCACTGTAGGAGCTCATGATTGGACGACCAAAGTCAGCCAATAGACTAAGAGACGCAATCCCAGTTTATGGATTTCAGGTTCTCCCTTAGAGACAAAAAAATCATGGTCCTCCAGATCATGATAGAACCATGACTCTATGGTGCATAGGGGTAATCTCTCGTATATGTACATGCTTTACCCTCATTGGCGAATCTTAAAATAGCTATCTATGTACATGTCATGTGATGATATAACGATGAGGTTTTAGCCTTGTCTCTAAAGGCTATTCATCACATACAAGGGCTATACAGTCCCTTGGCTCTCATCTGGGCATACTCCGACCTCATCAAGGGCTAACCCACTAAACCCTTCTTGATAGATCCCTATACCCAGGTATCTTGGGTTTTTCTAAACTCGGTTGGCCTAGCATGTCGAGCCTAGTCCGAGTATCGACAAATCGTATTTGCTTAGTATGGTTTACAAGAGGACCACACTCTTACTGAGTTTATGTTTCACTATATAAAATGCTCATAGTTCTCATGAGGCCTTTAAAGGCTACATAAACCCAACAAAATCAACTACATCTGTCCCATTAGTCAAGTCCAATATCTCACATCGAGTTGTCAAACTTTACATATATTAGCTATGTGTGATTTATAATTGTTGTGTACTTAATATGGTTTTATATTTGGACGAGCATTTTAAAATCGAGATCGACTGAAGGAAACTATCACATAGGAAGCCATTTTGATCGGCGAAACAGATTGATTCTCCTATGTGAGTATTAGTCCCAAAAAAGAAAAAAAGTTAATCGAAAAGTATAATATGTTGGAACTAGGTAATTCGGATTACCCAATTCTCTAACTGACTCGCTCAATACCCTTATATAGTCATGTTTCTTAAATATTGACTTGGATAAAGGAACCATTCAAAATCTTGGTTCTCGAGACCTTTTTTTGGATTCGGATGGATAATTCCCAATTCAAATATTCAGTTTCTTAAATATTGACTTGGATAATTAAGTGGTAGAAATAAAATATAGGATTTTTAGTGTTGCTAATGTTAATTTCTAAGCCCGCGCGATATTCATCGTTCTATATGAAATCCCGTTACAAAGTCCAAAAGCTAACGGACTCCACCGTTACCGAGCTAGAAATTCACCGAGACTAAGCATTTATTTGAAACTTAGCAGCTTCTAAAATTTAGAACACGTGTCAATTTGGGGGAGGTGCGCGGACTCTGGCGGGGAGGGTTTACCGAACCAACCAACCCAACTTCCCACGTTCTTTCCTCACGTCGTCGCCCGTTTACGCAATGGCCTCACATTTTACCATAATACCCTCGAAGTTACGTCCGCATTTCTGTTCAAATGAACCATTTGGAACTAATCCTCTAATAAACAATGTGGACTGTATAATTATCAAGACTGAATTGGACCATTGGGTTTAATAAGTTAGAATGAAAATAGGTGCCTTAATCATTTTGGTCCAAATCAAAATTTGGCTTTGATTGAAATTTGATCACATCTAATGTTTGATATGTTTTAACCGTTCGGACTAGTGGGTTTTCACCCGTGGATTAGTTAAATAGAGTGGTATAGGATTGGTTAAAGGGTGTGGTTTTTATAAGGTTACAACCTTAAACGATCCAATTAAGGCACACCTCGAAAATTTACCATAAAATGTATTTTTGGTGTAAAATATTTTTAAGATTAACTGAAAATCTATTTTCATATCCAATTATAAAATTTTAAACTTCAAAAATGGTTAAAATCAAGTAGATTTATATGAATATAAAAATCTTGAAAATAGACGGTCTACATAATGTGTTGCAAGATGCTCTATTTTTGAGACTCAAAATCCCTTTTTTTTTCTTTTTTTTGTCATCTTCATACATCTGGACATCAAGATGTTCAATTAGAAAGTTTTTCAACATTAAAACAACCTTTTCCAATAAATATTCGAAGTGCGTCCGTAATTCTACATTTTAAGATTGCAACCTTATATAAACTATTGCCTTAGCTAAATAGAGTGGTATATTTTTTGTTTTAAGCAATTGTTGTTTTTAACTTGGGTCTAACTAGTTCGATCAATGTCAGCAGCATCAATTTTAATTAGATCAGATCCCTCATCTCTTCAATATCAAGTTCAAGCCGGAGAACACTGGTCCGGATGGTTAGAGACACATATATATTCAATAGTGACATGCTGGGTAGGATAAGTCGCCTTCCATTCGAGATCAACCTATTGATTAAGACACATTGAGACCATAGTGTTACGATGATCATGTGGGCCATACCGCCATAGAACCATGTCACGGGCATGGATTTTGCAACCCATGCCCGTTGGGTTTTGGTGAAAAAATAATGATTTTTGTTAAGGAGGAAAAATTGGGTGGTTTGAGAAGGGGCAGTTGGGTTTTGGTCGCTTAGATAAGGAATGAGGGTATTATTGTCCCATTGTTGCCCTGGTGATTAGGATAGTAGACATTGGACTTGATAACCAAATAGTAGGGGAACGACCCCATAACCAGGAACCCTTTTTAAACCCCCTTACATGAACTTAATACAACACTTGCTATTGGTTGAGTTGCAGGTTTAGGGTTGGAACAGGAACACAGGGAGATCCTCTCTCTCCCTTTCTCATATACAATTTCAATAAAATCATCTCTCTCTCTCTCTCTCTCTCTCTCCTATCTTCCCTCTAATCCCATTAGAGGATCACTAAAAATCCCCCTGTATTTGAACATCATTTTAAGAGCCTAGATCTCTCTGGCTCTGATCAGTGCAATTTAGAAGCATAATCATTCTCTCTGTCTCTTGTCTCATCTCTCTCACCAGTACCATTTAGAAGCATAATCAATCTCTCTCTCACAACTCTTTCACCACTACTATTTAGAAGCATACCGTCTCTGTCTCTCATCGATAGCTTTTAGAAGCACAATCTCTCCCTCTCCATGGAAGAGAAAGGGTACGTAGGGTTCCTGAACTGGGATGCTGAGAAGCCTTGTGTGAGCATCGCTTCCCCCCGATCTCATGCTCGGAGACCAAGCAACTCTTGGAGGTACGCAGAGCCACGCGATTCTAAGGTACTTTCATGCCTTTCCCAAGTCACTCGATTTAGTTTCTTCTCATCTGCGGCTTTCTTATTCCCTTTGCCAAGAAAAAAAAAAGTGTTATTTAAAATACGAAAGGTTTGGAATCCTCCGTCTGAATTTTTTTTATTTTATTTTAGTTTTTTTTTTTTGTTAGTAGGGCCAATGAAAAAACTAAAACGAATTAAAAATTAAAATTCATCATTGGATTAAGGGGTAATTTTGAAAAAATATAAAAAATGGGTCAACCGACCATCTTTTGTAATTTTCACCTATAAATCGATTATTTTAGTATTTTAAAAGAAAATTAAGGTGTAAATCACTCTAGTAAGAAAGATCAAGCACTCTATCAAACAATGGCCTGGGGGCTTGACCCTAAAAGACTAAAGCCTGCGACAAAATATGATCCGTGAACCGCATTGGGCGAGGCATGTGTTATGGCTAAAGCCGGGCAACAAAATATTATCCATAAACACCATTGGGGGCTTGGGCATGAGTTATGGTCGACATGGACCAACCCAATTCTATTAGTTTGAGTCTTATTCCAACTATTTGAGGTCGAGTACATTAGTCCCATTTCATATTCTACTCTATCAATGATCAATACCCCAAGTCTTGAGATTGTATCCTAAATTTCCCCTCTTTCAAACTTTTGAATCATTTCTCACTAGACCTCGGCTCTCAGTGGACAGGAGGAGGGCAACACCAATGGCATCAAAAGCAACGGCAAGGCCACCACCTTGGAAGACACGTGTATCCACAGCCACGCACGTGCGAAGGGTCGGGCATGCAAGCCATCTTCCTCTCCTCAAGTGACAACCCTCGCCCTTCATGTGGGACAGGCTTCTTCCTCCCTCGAAGGGCCGGCTCCCCCTTTCACCTCAATCTTAAGCCATGTATGCAACTTTCTAATTTTATCATTGTTTTCTATTAATTCATTATATTAATAGAAATTTATTAACATATGCTTCAGAGTTGAACAAATTTGACATATTATCCCAAGAATAATTTGATCAATTCCAAAGCCAGTTTTCATGTGTCATATGATTTGAAATTAGAAAAAATACAAGGCAAGGTATTAAATAATTCAAATATAACGTATAGTCTGATAAAATTTCCCTTATTTTAATAGCCATATGTTTGTCAGTTTGTGTTTGTAAAACTAGGAACTTTAGAGAGCAGTTAGTTTACTATTTCTACTTAAAATGTTTGTTGAAATAGTTGTTGAATTTTGCAAGTGCAATGTAGTAATGGATTAGAGGTAGGTATTGCATGTGTAAAATAAAATACTGGTTCCTTGAGAAGGAAAGATGAGAACTGTGTGGAATTAGGTGGTAGGTGTGTCTAATGGAGGTTATTGTGAATGTGATATTATTATTGTGAATATGCAGCATATAGCACGGTTCTCCTTCCCTCTCGAGTTGTGCATGCCCTCAATCTCAACGCCCATGCTTTGGCAAGTTCCCTACAGCTTACTCCTCGAGGTCAATCTCTCTCTGCCCTACCTACTGCAAAAGGTATTAGTGAAGACTCTCTCTCTCTCCATCGCCCCCTATTGCAAAAGGTATTAGTGAAGTCCAGTGTTCAAAAAATCGTACCGGCTTAATAAACCGGCTAATGGCTGGTTTTGAGTTAGCAGTAAACCGGTCGGTTCAACTGGCTTAATCGGGCAGGTCTTCACAGGTCAAAAAAAAATTAAAAATATATAAAAAAATCTAAATAAATATGAAAAGTATATTTAAAGCATGATTAAACAAATAACATCGAAATAAATTTGAAAATTAGTGAAAAAAATCGATTTAAAAAAATTGATTTGTGCTCAGGGGTATGTTTAAATTTTTTGAAAAGGGATAGAAAAATATAAAAATAAGTATTCATGACCAAAATACTTTACAATCTTTGCCAAAATAATAATAAAAACATTAAAATCACATTAGTAACAGATCCCTTCTTTTTTAGAATTATATATATTTTTAGAATTTTTTGAAAATACTCAGTTGAACCACCAAAACCGGATTAACCAATAACAGATTCCGGTTTGGCCAGCCGAGTTTGCAAACACTGGTGAAGACACTCTCTCGGAAGCTTTAACATGTAAAAAGTGCTAATGTTAACATGTAAAAAATGCTAATGAAAATTCGGGTTGGCACCAATATGTAGCACCTTAATGAATTTGTCAAGATTATAGGCTTTCAAGGGTAATATATTTTCTTGGGTGATAACTATATCCAGATGTACTTTTAGTCGTATTTTAGAACAGAATTTGTGGAATTTAACATCTAAGCCTAGTTGCCAAGCTCTGAAAAAGAACAATTATGTGCCTCAAACCAATAACAACATAAGATTGTATAAAGACAATCCAAATTTTGGACATTCAGATACAAATGTTTGAAATTCTATATTTTTTTCATCTAAAAATATTCGTCTCGTGACCCTAATATGGACCCCAAAATTTAGAGCGACAAAATTCTTTAAATACAGTCCTCTCATAGAGAATGCTATGCCCATGACTTTTTGGGATGATTTTATTTTGGAAAACATGATCCTTGTGGTCGTGAAAAACCATGACGGGGGTTATCACCATTCATTCAATTGGCGGGATGGTGATGCAGATAGAAAAGGGAAGAATTTTTTTTTGGGTAAGTCAGTGGAGATGACGATCTCCTACCTATTTTTGAAATAGTTAATTTTTGGATATGTTAGTGAGAATGAAAGTCAAGATCTTTAAAAACGAACATATATGAATCGTATGGTTGGTCTTAGTTTTCTTCATCATCATCCAATCTGCCATTTTACTAAAAGGCAAGTTTTCTATGCTTCCCCTACAGCATAAAACTTATATACTTCCCTTTATCCAACCCTCTATTCTGAATGGAGGGCAAAGATTGTCCCAATCACAATGTCACGTCTCTACACTATTTTATTTTTACTTTTTTTTCTATAAACTATTTTGACACCAAATTTTAGATGTCCAATCCTCTATTAAACTCGCATTAGCAAAAAATATAAAAAAAATATTTTCAATAAAATAAAATGATCAAAATACCCCTAAAATATTCAATGGGTATAATTATATTTTATCGAAAATTATTTTTAATACTTTTTATTGGTGCGCCTCAATGAGAAGATGGCATGTACCAAATTTCATATTCATACAATTTTTATAAAAAATAAAAAAATAAAAATATTTTGAGACATCGGATCTAAGATCAAACTGTGAGTGGCTCTCCGAATCAAAATTGGACGGCTCTCTTGATCAAAATTGAGCTGCTGGATAGTTGGGGAAGCATAAATCTTCTAAGGAAGTATAGAAACCTTTCCCTTTACTAAAAGGGTCAAAAGAAGATTACAAATTGCACTGGAGGGTAATGCCTTTACATTTCTATATGAATTAGTTAAGTCCTAAAAATAAATTTTTAAATTAACCTTATTTGATATTGGGTACTTTGGTAATTCTACCTCCAAATTGGCCTTGCTTAATGAAAAAAGTATTTTTTTGGGAATAAACGTTCTTGCTTCCCAACATAACCATATATAACATTAAAAGTGTATATCCTAAAATATAATTCGTAATTTTTACCCTTTGACAATATTGTAAGGGGTTTCAACCGGCTATTTTCCCTAAAATAAAAGGAAGAGGATACATAATGATGTCATTTTTTGTACAACGTACTAAGGGAAATTTATCAAGAAAAAAACTGCCCACACACACCACATATAGTAGCATAATAACACCAAACTCCCACTAACTCAGCTTGCAAAATTTGAGCAGATGTAGGCAAGTTACATGAGGCAAGCAGCCATGAGATAAGCGAACTGGACGACGAGGATTACAAGAAGGATGCAACATCGGATTGTCATCTCTTAACTTCCCCTGAAACTCTTCTTCCTAAAGAATGGACATACTAGCTTCACATGCAAATATTTTTGTTCTTGAATAAGTGTAACTCACACTTGCCTAAATTATCCCACCTCAAAATTAGTCATACACTGGTGCTTAATGCATGTATCACTGGAATGCTACGTTTCATGTTTGTGCAAAAACTGTTGATGTGTACAAATGTAGAAATAATGAATAATCCAAGGTGACATGAGAAACTGGTATATACATTATTGTTCTACTTTATTCATCATCAACGTCGTTATCATCATCATCTTAGCATTGTCTCAACTATTTGAAGTCGACTATACAAATCTTGTTATATTATTCCACTACAAGATCAGGATTCATGAAATAGATACGGCCTGCCAACGTAATATAAGCCTCCTCCTTTCTCGAAGCTTGAGACCAACATGATCGGCTTGGAACCTGCCATAGTTCTTGTTGTATTTTATTGTATGATACTTCCTTTTTTTTGTCTATTGGGATTGTTGATTCAAGTTTTCAAAAGTTGATGGTGACATACAAGATCCTTTTCCTTATTAATGGAGGAGCTTATGTGCAGGAAGGTTTGGTAAGAAATGTTCCTTTCTCTTCTTATTTTTAGAATAAAAGTTGTTGCTACAAGGGGCGCAAATGAATTGCCGTTTGGTTCCATCAGGCGTTTAAGAAATTAGAATCCCTGCACGCCAGGTCCGATTATGATGTGTTAGGTCTGGTTCTAATTTAGCCCATGTCTATGACAATTCATCAGAAGGGTAGTCCTAAATATTTATAGAAAAAATTTCAAAGCCAAAGCTGGGCAGGTTTGGTTCGTGGGAAAGCATTTCCTGAGAAATATTTTTCGACAAATATTTTTATGTGAAAAATTTCTTTTATATGGTTAGGTGTGAGAATATTTTCACACAAATTAGTTGGTTTTTGATAAATAAGATCCAATTCGAGTTCCAAGCTTGCGTAAATCACCGTAACATGTAATGTCGAAAACCCTAAGATGAAAATTCCCTACGTGGGTGAGCGGGGAGCACATTGTCTTAGACGGAAAGTTGGTGTGTCCTCTGATCACGTGCTATCAGATAAATTAAAATATCAACAGTGTTTACTTCTTTGACACTCACTTGTCCCTCGAAGGACAAGGAGCGTCAAAGAGATACCCCATTTTGAAAACTAATAAATTTAATGGTTTTTTTAAACCGTAGACAACCTTAAGACCACACTATCCTAGTAAACTCCCCAGACCATAGACTACCATAGTCCATACTGCTTGCCATGTAATCAAAATCTTACATAACACCTTGCTTCAATAAATTTTTTTATTAAAAATAGCAAAACACCTCGTTTTGACCTAAATGTTGCCAGACATCATCACAAGAGCCCATAAATTACCCCATAATTGGAATTTGTCAATTTTGAGCATATTCGATCTGCGTGACCATTGGTACTGCCCAGCTCGACTGCCCCAAAATGGCAGTTTTCCGTATCCTAACCACTCCCCGACCATTTTTGTGTAGATTCATTGAATCTGGACCCTTTTGGTATGTTGACCCCAAAACAATAATTCGAGTTGAAAAATCCATTTGAAATTGGCAGTTACCCACTCCAACCGATTTTGAGCCTTTAAAAGATCATTTCAGGATCATTTCTAGGGCTAGACTTTTAGACATCTTAAATGCTGAAAAATTATAGGCCAAGAAACCTTACACCCTGAGAAAACCCTAGACCTAGGAAAACCTTAGCTTTAGGCCATTAATTAGCTTTTAGGTTAAAAAAACCATCCAACCAAACCAAAGCTTGATCAAAATCTGAAGAGAGACAAAGATGACGCATGATATAAACTCAACTGGTTTTGATACGGGTGAGGCCTCGGGAGTCTCGAGTCAACTGGTTTGGTCTAGTATTTTATTACTCTTTCTACATTTTTTCTTTTATTTATTTATTATTTTTATTATAAATAAATTAGTTTTATTGTATTTTATATTATATTTCGTATTTCTGATCAATGCTGGCTCTGCCACTGATCTGAGAGCAGATCTGCTCATTTATGAGTAGAACTAGCCTTAGATCAGAATTTGATTATCCCCACTCTCAATCACACTCTTAAAAAAATGAGTTTGTGGTTTAAATTTGAGCAATCCCCATTCGGAGATCGTCTCGATCTGCACTGTAAACAATGATATATTTTAAAGCCGTATTTTAGAACCTGGATCAGTGGGGTGGATTGTTTGCCCCACAACACTTTGTCAGATCATTATATCGACCGACAAGATTGGGCTGGATTGTTTTGAATTAGTGATCTAGAAAAATAGTAAAATAAAATAAAATAGATAAACAGCATAAATCGAGATTCATGAAGTGGGAATATAAGGACTTCAATAAATATTAAAAAACTTAAAAGAAAAAAAATATGAAATAGAGGTTTTTAGTGAATCGGGCTAGGATCTTGTCAAAATCGATTTAGGCTGGACTGATTCCCCCTCTATATCAATGATCTGGATGGGAATTAAGTGCTCTTAAAACAAGGAAAAAGTTTTTATAAGGGTGATGCCTTAAATAATCAAACTAAGGCATGCCTCAACAATTCACTAGAAGAGGTTGTTTTGATGAACCAAAAAGCCTCAAATTGAAAATCTCAACCGCAATATGGATGGACATGAGAAAAAATCGATTTCAATGTTTGAAAATAGTACATGTTGTTATGTATTTTCTAGGCTATTGGATCTACTTGATCTATACTATTTTTAAAGCGTTAATTTTATGATTAGAGATGAAAATAAATTTTAAGGCCATAACAAAGATTTTTAGTATTAAAACAACATAGGACACGGTTTCTATTCAGCCATCCCACATATTGTAGAAATGCGGGCTTATCTTTAATATGAAGATCATGATTAGGAAATTTTTTTTTTTTTAAAACTACAAATAATAATTATATTATAAAACATTTAGACCATTAGTTAAATTAAGTTTAGATGGACCACCCATTTGCATCCATCTTTAAGATGAAGGTTTTATACCACTGGATTGCATGTTGTAAAAATGCACTCCAGCCCGCATGAAACAATTTTCTAAAAACATATCGTTTGACACTATTTGAAAGTGCGCCTGATGGGAAGAGTTTATATAGAGCTGAGGCTCTAAATAATCACATTCAAGCCTACCTCAAAAATTTTACTAGACGAGATTGTTTTGATGCTCAAAAATACTCAAATTGATCATCTTGATATTAAGATGCATGGACATGAGAAAAAATTGATTTCAAGTTTTGGAAATAATGTATTTTGTAATGTAGTTTTTGACGGTCAATTTTCAATATTTTCAAGTTTTCATAGATCTCTCGATCTACACCATTTTTGAAGCTTTAAACTTAATAAATAAAAATCAAAATATATTTTAAAGCTATAACAAAAATTTTGAATGTTAAACCACATTTTTCGATACTATTTAAAGGTGAGCTCTAATTTGATTGTTTAGAGCCTAGGCTCTATACCGGACCCTATTTTCATTGTTTAGGGTCTCGGCCTGTATAAACTTCACGCATGCGTCAAGATTAAAAAATTACAACACGTGCGTGTGAGAAGGGAATCCTCGTTCCCGCCAATTCTTTATGGGAAACTCTTCTAATTCCAATACAAAACATGGGTGTAAATAATAAAAGTAGGAGAACAATATAGTTTTCACATTGTTTTGGGTGGAAGTATAAAAAACAACGCTAATATCAACTCAAGTAATAAATTGCGTTTTTCATTTTAAAAAGTGGGAAATACGGCACCCGTTCAAAGTGGTCTTCGACAACCAAAGACCGTGGTTGCCTACGAGATCGCCACGTGTCGCACCGAACGCCCTGCGATGGACAGCTTGAGATGAAATTTGACAGCTAAGATGCTGTCCAATCGGCTAATGTCCGCAAAAAAAGATTGGAGGGCGCCGCATCAGCCGTTCGTTTCCAAGAAAACGTGCGGGTCAGATCATTTGGTTAACGGACGGTCCGGATATCTCTGCAAAAGAGGGCCAAGATCGCGCGCCCTTAAATAAGTCGGCTAAAGGCTAACGGTACGTGTTAAAAGCAAGCCCTAGCTATGCGCTCCTGTTCGCTGCTGCTTGTGCTTACTTGTTAGTTTCTATGGCTTCGCTCCCTCTAGTGGTGGAGATCGATTAGGGTTAAGAAGCCTTGCCTAGGGTTTTTCTTCAATGGGAGATGAAGTGAACAAACCCTAGCTCTTTGCTGCTTCTGTTACTCTCTTTATCTTTTCTTCTTTTGCTGCTTTTAGTTGCTGAGAGAGTGGAAGTTTTGAGTGAATCGAGTTCCACAATGGTTTCTCTCTGAAGTAGCAGATCTCTTCAAACACTGAAGGAGCAGAGTATTTTGCTCAGCTGGACACTTGAAATATTGGTAGCGAGTTGCAGAGTGTTTTACCGCAATCGTTGTGAATTCATTTGGCGAAGTTCCTTTGTAGGTGAGGCAGATCTCTCTGAGTTTCACTCACATTCAGAGGGTTTGAGCGCTAATAAAAGCTTCTAAGCATTTGTAGAGGGTTTTTGCCTCGATAAAGTGGAGTCTAAGCGGGAGTTGCAGAACTGGTTTCCCTGTTGCCCTTCAGGGCATAGATCTCGATATAATGATACAGGGTGCGGCCCTTAGAGCTCCGACCCCTGTCTACGGACACAGTCACTTCAAGAAGTTCTGGTTAAAGAAGAAGGAGATCGAGGACGCTGAGGAGAGGCTTAGAGTGGTCTCTGCTCAACGGCCAAAGCCTTCTTACTCATCAATTGAGCATTCTTCTTTGACAAAGAGCGTGAGGTTTTCCATGGGGAAATCAGAGCTGGACTATGCCTTCTCTCTCAGCTCGGATAACAGCTCGGATAATGGAGCTTCAGATAGGAAGAAGAAAGAAGAGGAGGAAACAGGCGATCTCTCATCAATAAGCCCTAGAACTCCTACCCCTGTGAACGCCTGTGCTGACTGTAAAACTGTGAAGACTCCTCTTTGGAGAAACGGTCCCCTTGGACCTAAGGTATCATTTCTTCTCTTCTTATGCCTCATCTGCGATTTCAGATCCTTTATTATCTTTTTGTTTCTTATTTGCATTTCATAACTGTCTCAAATTACTTGAAATTGTAAATTTTCTTTTTTGTGATTCTGATGGTTTACTGGTAATTTTCAGTCCCTGTGCAATGCCTGTGGGATCCGGTATAAGAAACTTGGAAAGAAGGTTAACGCTTCTAATGGCTCACCTAGGGGGATTAAGAGGAAGGATGAGGTAGAAGCAGTTGAAGATAAGTTCTGGAAGAGGCGGCCATTCTTGCCTAAGAAGGGTAGAGTTATTGACAGGGACGAAAAGGAGGGCGCTATGTTGCTCATGGCTCTCTCTTGTGGCCTTGTCGCTCCTCCTTGAGATTCCAGGGCTTCGGATCTGCAGATTTGCCGGGACTTCCACTCTCTGCAACCTCAGATCTGCATTGAAGGAACCCAAACTCTGTAAATTTCAGGTGTCGCCATTAAAGGACAAGAAGAAGCTGTAAAGTTCAGCCCTCCATTAAAGCAAGAGGAGACAAGAGTCTGCTCACTTTAATGGAGGAGCTGTTTTTTTGATGAATCACTTCTTCTGGAAGGATTAGTTCGCCCATTTTTGGATCTACAGAGCTGAAGGGCTCGTTGCTACTGTAAACGTTTACAGATCGCCATAAAAGCTGCAGCGAAAGCTTTCTGGTTTTAATGAAGAGGAGGAAGCGGCGAGGCCACCATCGGCTCAACGGTTTTAGGGTTTCTAATCCTGCACGTTTGAGCAGCTCCCACTTCCGGGCTTTTACGAATCACACGTGCGGATATGTTTCCCGGCACGTGCAGATCGCTCGTCGATCGGAGCTTGTACAGGAGTGTGTGAACACTCGTCTCTGTATCCCTCCTCTCCTCCTTAATTTTTTTTTTTTTTTAATATTAATGGGTCCAGTTTATGGGGTCGGGCTTGCTGGTGTTTTTTTTATTGTAATTTGAAGATGAATGCCCCATTCTTTTTTGGAAATGACCCATTTATCTTGTGTGAAAAGCATGACATGGGACTTTATAAGTGGTATATTGGTCATTGTTGGGCTGCAGCCTTCCTTTCTGTCTAGAGTTTCTAACGATATTATCTTTTATTTGGGGAGAAACTTGTTATCAAATATTGATTCCAGAAACTAGAAAATATGTTCGATCGTATTATGGGTTGATCTTGAGTGGATTTTGATGAGTTTGCTTCGGTGTTTTAAAGCCTGGATTGATAGGTTGAACCGCTGTTTCGGATCAGTGATTTGGCTTAGCTTATATACGGGTTTGGATCTGGCAAAACAGGTGATCCGATCAGTTTTTGAAACTCTGATTGGATAATATGATGATCTGAAAAAACATTAAATTTGAAAAACTGTTGGGGGTTGTTTTGAGAAGGCAACAGTGTTGGGCGGGAACAGGCGAATGATACTATGACAGCCTTGCTCCTGTCCTTTGGGTTATGGATTCTGGGCGGGAGGGGAACATTAATGGACCGGGAAGGAGGTTCGCTCTTCTGCTTCTGTTATCTTCTGTGGTATCAGCTCTTTGCATATAAATGTACCTACCTGCCTTACTGTGTCCTGCTACTTTTATGTGAAGTTCTTTCCCGCTAAAAAAGAAGGTTTATATTTGGAAGTAGAATGGTAGAAATGGAATTAGTCACCTGCCGTCCCATTCTCCTAGCCTTTTACGTAGGGTTTTTATTGTTTGGAGACCGCACTGTTTTTACTCTGACTGCTCTCCGGTTATTTTAACAAAAGAAAGTATACAATTCAGCTGTTTTACCTTTGATACGATGAGAAGTATACACTGAGATGATCATAAGCTTTTAATTTTCCAAGACTTGCGTGAAGTTTCTATCAATCATAAACTACGAATTTCCTCGGATTGTCTAAATTTCTATTCTTCATTATAAAGAAGTTCCGTGGTAATGGTTCACTCAATAATTGCATAAGCTTTGCAATGTTGGCCGTTATTAGGTGATCTCAGTATTAGTTATAGACATTGAAATACTCAAATGGATTTTGCTTGAATCCATTGCAGGAATGTAATCATTAATTTTAACTCCACCCTGTACTTTCACTTGCATGATGGAAAATGTTTAGAGCATGAGCAGGGTTCTACTCTTTCAGTAGAAGATGCAGTTTCTATACGGCACAGGCTTTATGAAAATACAGTAAAACCTTACTTTGGATTCTCGTTCGGAAAGCATTTTGAGTGTAGAAAATCTCCATGATGACACTCTAAAATCAATTTCTAAAACCAATTGTGAAATTTGAAGAAAAAAAGAAAGCAATCAATTTCTAAAACCAATTGTGAAATTTGAAGCAAAAAAAAAAGATTTGTACACATTTATTTTTAGGGCAAAATGGACAGTCTAGATAATATATTATAATATATATATACTATTTTTAAGACCCAAAATTATAGTGTTTCTTATAATTATAATGACCATGGTTAAGATGATCGATTTGAAGGTTTTATGATGCCATATTTTTTTAAGATAGTTTTGAAGTAGGGTTTTACTTATTTTAATAGGGTTACAACTCTATCAAAATATTTTAAAAAGATTTATATAAGGAAAAAGTTTATATAAGGTTGCAGCGTTAAATGTAGAATTACAGATGCACTTCAAAAGTCCTCTAAAAAGGTTGTTTTAATATTGAAAAACCTTCTAATCGATCATCTCTAAAAAGGTTGTTTTAATATTGAAAAACCTTCTAATCGATCATCTCAACAACGATATATATGAATATGGAAAACAAAAAAGATTATGAGTCTCAAAAGCAGTACATTTGCAACACATCATCTAAACTGTCTATTTTCAAGAATTTTATATGTTTATAGATCTTCTTGATTTTAAGCATTTTTGGAGTTTAAAGTTTCATAATTAGATATGAAAATGGATTTTGAGATAATCCTAATAATTGTTTACACCAAATTACATGTTATGATAAATTTTGGAGGTGTGCTTTAATTGGATTGTTTAAGGTTGCAACCTTATAGAAACCAACCCCCTTATATAAAAGACTTATATGTGAGAAGTTTTTCAATCTAAAATTTTTGGGAACTTTGAAGAATTTGTTGGTGATTATTCTCAAAAAGAAATTGAAATTTGATTTTTTTTAACAATTGGATCTCACCATCTAAAAATTGGATGGTTTCTACTCAATCTCGAGACATTAATTTTTATTTTGAAACAAATTCCAAGACGTTATTTTCAAATGCACAAATGCTATATTAGATTTTTTTTTTGTTGAGGTTAATATATGGGTTGAAGAGGATAAATACCCAAAATTTGGGGAAATTCTAGAGGGTTCGATAGACTAATGGACATATTACTCATGCGGAAGTAGAATATCTTTTTTTTGTTTTTTTGACCAATGTTAACTAACATTATTGAAGAAGGTGCAATTAATAACACAATAGCAGGCACAGACGCATCATATTTAGCCAAAGAATCTACCAAAGAATTCGATTTCCTATAAACATAAACGGACGAGATTGGGATAGATTTGACCAAATAAAAAATCTGCAGCCATAACGATTTGAGCACCCATAACACTCTTTATTCTTTATTGCACTAGTGGATAACATTCAAAGAATCTCTTTCTATAGTCAAAACCAGCGTTTAAAAAATCGCC